GGAATGTTAATTGAGATACTTTAAATATTTTGACAAGTTCAACCTGTGTGTTAATGATGTGTTTCTTTGTCACTTATTTATTATATATTTCTTAGCTTTTCTTTCTATTACTTATTTAATGCTTGTATAAATTAGGTTTTGGGAGGTGTTAATTTTTATCTCTAGAATACGACCGTGAAATAATAATAATAATAATAATAATAATAATAATAATAATAAAAATAAATATTCAATTGAGAAAAATTAAATAAAACTTTTAATCAGAACGTTTATTGAAAAATACACTGAGAGGGACAGAGTTCAGGTTAGGTACAGTAACTGAGGTGGACATTACTGTAATAACTAACTCAACCTGAATTTACATCTTGATTTTTTATTTTTTTAATTGTAAGCGATGTCCTTAATAGTGTATGTATGTATGTATGTATGTATGTATGTATGTATGTATGTATGTATGTATATTAAAATGTATTCATAATTATTAAACACTTAGACTGTGTGTGGTACCTTGGGGGGTGCTGTGTGTGGTACCTTGGGGGGTGCTGTGTGTGGTACCTTGTGGGGGTGCTGTGTGTGGTACCTTGTGTGGGGGTGCTGGGTGTGGTACCTTGTGGGGGGTGCTATGTGTGGTACCTTGTGGGGGTGCTGTGTGTGGGCACCTTGTGGGGGTGCTGTGTGTGGTACCTGTAGGGGTGCTGTGTGTGGTACCTTGTGGGGGGTGCTGTGTGTGGTACCTTGTGGGGGTGCTGTGTGGTACCTTGTGGGGGTGCTGTGTGTGGTACCTGTGTGTGGTACCTTGTGGGGGGTGCTGTGTGTGGTACCTTGTGGGGGTGCTGTGTGTGGTACCTTGTTGGGGGGGGGGCTATGTGTGGTACCTTGTGGGGGGTGCTGTGTGTGGTACCTTGTGGGGGGTGCTGTGTGTGGTACCTTGTGGGGGTGCTATGTGTGGTACCTTGTGGGGGGTGCTGTGTGTGGTACCTGTGGGGGTGCTGTGTGTGGTATGGGGGGTGCTGTGTGTGTGTGGGGGGTGCCATGTGTGGTAGGGGGGTGCTATGTGTGGTACCTTGTGGGGGGTGCTGTGTGTGTGGCACCTTGTGGGGGGTGCTGTGTGTGGTACCTTGTGGGGGTGCTATGTGTGGTACCTTGTGGGGGTGCTATGTGTGGTACCTTGTGGGGGTGCTGTGTGTGGTACCTTGTGGGGGGTGCTATGTGTGGTACCTTGTGGGGGTGCTGTGTGTGGTACACCTTGTGGGGGGTGCTGTGTGTGGTACCTTGTGGGGGGGTGCTATGTGTGGTACCTTGTGGGGGGGGGTAGTGCGCCAAGAGACATTTATCGCATCAATCAGTCAGTGAGTGTTGAATAAGTCGCTCACACAGGGAATATATTTTTTTGTTTACCTACACTTAATTCGCCTCATAATTCGTGCAGTTCTAATCCTGGACGAGCTACAATAGAAAAGCAAAAATAAAAGAATCGCTTAATATACCTTGGTGGTGCTGCCGGTGATCACAAACATATAAACGCATAAAGTAATTGGATAAGTTCAAATTTATTAATCATTAATATGAAAAGGAACAGTAATACTGTTTGCCGGGCCCTGCAACCCACGTTTGAGTCTACTCGCTCCCATAATATTCAAATTCCATGAAATATTATGCATTTGTGTAACATATTTGCCATCAACAAAACCATAACTAGCATTAGTGTCGCGATATGTTAGCACTAAGTACATACATTCCATCTAAACCTGAAGTAAAAAGGACGGCTAATAGTCCAAACTATAATTTCTTTCCTCTCCGCCAGTCTCAAGAGCTCTCCTCGTTAAACCTGAGGACAAATCTTCCTCAGCACATCTGCGCCGTGGCCACACTACAATGGGCCACATCTTCATGTCTGTGTTTTTAAGTTAAATGTCCCATAGCAGTTGGCCAGACAAATTGTCTTCATGGAGTCAGAGGGCGTCGGTACCTGGTGTCTCTAGTCTCAGTTCATTTATACCTTCGGAAATCTCCTTGGTAATAATTCTAACCCGTGTAAAAGTTCAACTTCCGTCGTTTACTTAGATTTACGGCCTCTTGTGATCTGTCGATGTGCACCAAGTATTTACATTTTTAGTACCTGTGAAACATAATTAAGCTCAACTGAGGTCCACTTGAAGCACTTCTTCCAACTTGTCTAAATTATAAAGTTTTTTCTTCTGTTGATTTATTTATTTTTTTTCCTGGGGGCTGGTGGGGTGGGAGGGCTTGTGAATTATGTCACCAAAGTACAATATTTCATTTAACTCGGTGGAAACTAACAAATATCGTGACGTCAACAAGAAATAGTGAAACATTTAATATGACATTAGGAGCATCGACACCGTAAAGGTGATGAATTCGCGTGTAATGTGCTTGAGGGCCATTTTAGGAGACCTTCACGGCGGTGTGGTGTGACGGAGACAAGTGACGGGAGCCTTGCCCGGACCTGTGGCTCAGCCTCCCATGGCTCTGTCCTGTACGAGTCTCCAGGGCGCCCTTAACACCCCTTAAGCCCGTCACAACACGCGGCAATCATTGTAACTCGAGCGTCACTCACCCGTCACTCCCGCCGTTACTCAGGTAGGTGGCGATGACAGTAACAAATGGTCTGTCAGCCACTGTGTCCAGGAAATTGCCCGAAGAACGCACAATATTCAAAAAATTACGGAAATATTTGGCGTTTGATGCCTGACGTGTTAAGCTGTAACTCTGCCATATATTTTGGTACATAAATCACAACGACGTTCAGGAGTCGCTCTGTCACCTCTCTGCTGTGTCCTTCAGGCCACACGACTACTTGGTGCTTAGCTTAAGATAATGTGGCATTTAATGTTGACATTACAATAAATTTTGCTTTCAATCTATTGTATTGTTTAATCCCACTAATCGTAGAACTTTCTATATAAAATGATGAGATTCCTTTTAGGTCATCAGAGAAGAAGCAGAGAGGTTAAGTTAGAATAAGTCGGTGAGTGTGGTGTTGACTCCTTGACGGTGGGAGCCCCGGGCACCACACCATAATTTTCCGCCGCTGCATGCAACAGTAGGGGGGGCTCCTCCACCTCCTCTATTATCACAAGGTCTTTAACAAAATTTTTACCAATAAGTCTCGTCGCAATTACTACCGTAAAGGTTCTATTATTTGATCGATAGCTATTTACTTATTTTAATAGCACAGCTTTGACATTTTAAGAAAACAGATCAAAGGAATATTTTAAGAACTTATGAAAAAACTGACACGGAGTAAGACCGAAGGAAATTATAGCAAGTTGCTGGTATAGAGTAACTTGCGTTTCACCTTCTGTAGGTATGAATGTGACACTGCAGCAGGTGGCTCCTCCCAGCCATCACCACCCACAACCCTCCGCCTTCCTCAGAATAAACATCTCAGCCACACAAATAAAGCCCAAGATGTTTAGAAAAATAGGTCATCAAAACTTGAAGAGCTTGTACACACATCTCAGTTACGTTTGTCATTTTGACACTGAATTAATTAACATTACCCCAACATTAAACTGTACGAGTATTCTCACAGGTAGAATGAGCTGACTCGGAGTATATCACGACCAGACTCATCTTCACACACTGTGGAGAACAAGTGGCGTATCTTTTCCCTTTTATGTCACGCTCAGCTTATGCTATGATACAAGTATGCACCAAACCCCTTGTTAGTGATGGAATATTACCAGTACATAATATCAGTGATTTGTAGGACATCCACTCACCTCGTTGGAGTCTTATCAAGTGACAATATTTATTATTCATTAAGAACCTCTAATAAGGACCTCTCTTCTCAAGACGCATCTGAAGCTTGACACCAACTTTTTAACAAGTTTTGATCTACTGCCGCTGCTCCAGGTCGTATTGTGCATATTCAAGGACTTCCCAGTATTTATGTATGAGCAGCAGGTGGCGCCCCACAACACAGCGGGTGTTGATAAGGTCCCCCTATCTATACTAAAGGGTAAAATTATTATTAAGGCTGGGATTATGAACCTGCCAGGGGCGCATTTTTGGTTGTCTTTATCAGTCAAAGCCTCAGTGTGTGTCGAGTGGCGGCAATATGTAAGAGGCGGTGCTTGAGTATTGTGACGGCGTCTTACCCAAGTCTCACCTTGTTATAACTTATGACTTGAGGCTCTCACACTGTTGTACAAATTATTGTAGGATAAACTAATGAGACTTGTCAACGCTAAAATGGAGAGGGAGTCAGTGAGCGATCCAGAAGAGAACAGCAGCTCACTAATTGGTGAGACAAAACTTTTGGACTTGAAAATGGCTGTGTTCTCCACGTTAACCCCCTTGTTATCAGTGCCCAAGATGGAGTAAGTGCGTGGACAAACAAGTATTGAGACATGAATAAAAGGATCCACATATGGTCAAGATTGAGCCAAGGGCATAGTTGAGGGTGTGTCGCTGTGAGGGCTGAGATATATTTGTAATTGGTTATCGAGAATGTCTCCGAGCACTGGTAAGAGCGTCAGTGGATAATACCCGTACAAAGGGTAGAATGTGTGTATGTATTGGTGGGAGAATGTTTGCGAGACGTAGACCGTGACCTTGCTAACACGTCGGGAGGCGGCGGACAGTGGCGCCGCGGGCTGTGTGAATTGTGTTGCAAGTGTGAGCAATTATCCCCCGTCAGGCAAGGTCGACCCACCCATCCCTTATACTACTGGAGGGCATCACTTCCCCTAGTGACCCCCAGCGTGGCTCTATACTGTACATCAACACACCACAAGTCTTGCTGGTCTCTATTTGAAGATTATGTTTGTACATTAATAAACTATCTCCACTGCAGGACGCCACTTTTAATATTTTATTTGGCGAACACCAGACGGATTTATTTAGCACAGAGAGACCCCCGTACACGAAGGGTTAAAATGTTGACAACGGAGGCATCGTAGGTGCAGTAAGAATCACTGGATCAAGTGGGGTGACGACAGGTTGACTTAGTCTGTACTGTAAACATGATAGACTTACCCGTCTTTCTGTTCGGCAGCTCGGTCCCGTTGTCGGCGGTTTTTGAACCAGTTGGAGACCTGGGTTGTGGTGAGCCCTGTGGCCTCGGCCAGCTCTCTCTTCTCCCTGGGTGATGGATAAGGGTTGTGGGCGTACCACTCCCGCAGTACGTTCCGCGACTTTTCCTTGAAGCAGTAAGAGGTCTCCTCTCCGTCCCAGATGGTGCGCGGGAGAGGGAACTTGCGCCGCACGCGGTACTTGCCCACGGCGCCAAGCGGTCGCCCGCGGAGCTTCTCTGCCTCTATGTAGTGTGCCTTCAACCACAGTTGCTGTAATTTTCCGTGGTTTTGTATTGAGAAATTGTGCGATTCCAGAATTCGATAAAGGTCTTTGAAGTTGCCGCGGTGGAAGGCCACGAGAGCCTTAGCTTTGAGGACGGACTCATTCTTGTGTAAGTGTTCGCAGGCAGGCAGTGACCACAGGAACCTGCCCAGCCTCTCGATGTTCCCACTTTGTTGAAGGACCTCGCAGACGCAGGCAACCTGCTCCTGCGTGAAGCCGAAGGAGGGGAGCATTGCAGCGGGCGGGGAGAGCGAGGACTGCGGCGGCAGTGTCGGCGGGCCCAGGTGTGGGGCCCCTGGATGTCCACCCGCCTCGCTCATAGACCCCACTATCATAATATAATCCGCCACGGTACTAATGTTTACAACACCCACTACGCCCACCCCAGCAGACCGAGCAGACTTGTCGTGGTCACTACACAGCCAGTCAGGCGCACAGCACACAGCGGCGCACGTCCTAACCACACCAGGGGATCACCCAAACTATACTACAAGGCAAACCTTAGCTCACGTTTCCATCCTTCGATACTGCAGGGGCCGGATCGAGTTTTACCCCGCCCACCAACACGAGAGGCCGCATCTATTGGTTAGCTGTAAGTACTTATCGTGGGTGCGGCCAATTAGGGCGGGACGGGGTGGAGCTAACAGCTGAGTCCTTTTCCACCCGGCCAATGACCGTACCCGTTTAGGTAGAGGGGTGGTCCACGTTAACATAAGAAGATGGATGATATAGTGCACACTGTCGGTATTCCTAATCATCACACTTATTCATTAAACGATAAATAGACTGAGGGAAGCATTTGTCAGGGCGCACACAGACACCCCACCTCCTCCCGTGGATCGTTCCCTCCTACCTGACACCCACGACCATACACACGCACGCACACCTCCGCCCCGCCCGGTACAAGTATTACCATTTAACTCTCGTCTCTTCTCCCCTCCATCGGCTGAGGGACCATCCGTCAATCGCGGCCACAACATCAACAACTTCTTATCCATATTCAACTCTGGGGAGGTGCTGGAACGAATCGATGAAATATTCTTGCGTTCAGTATTTTCTCAATAGACACAATATTCAATTAACCAGATGAAAACAAAGGCCCTCCCATTAACGCTTGGCCTCCCTCCCTTTCCTCGCCCCTCCCTTTCCCCCCCCCCCCCCATTCCCTCCCCACACGCCAAATGTATTGTGAAAACGCTGAAAAATGGTTTCAATATATCTCCCTCCTGATGCAGAGCTGTAACGACCCGGCCTCACGAAGCAGCCGTCACAGGTTACGGCTCGCTCACCACTTTACGGGGGCGCTTTCCTGAAAACTCTCAAATTAATGCCTCGCTGATTTGCTGCTGGTTACTGGTGTATTGTGTGTGTTTGCTACGCTCGCTCGCTTGCTCTGGTCTTTTATGTCTCGCGGTCTTTATGTCTCGTTGTGTTTATGTTTTGTGGTGTTTATGTCTCGTAGTCTCTTTGTCTCGTGTTTATCATTCGTGGTGTTTCTGTCTCGCGGTTTTTAATGTCTCGCGGTCTTTAATGTCTCGCGGACCATAACAACACAAATCCTCAGGGCAAAGTGGAGAAGAGAATCACTCTACCGGGAGATGTAGTGTAAACATTATAAAACAATGATTTTCCACGACCGTTGTGAAGACTCTGAAACGTTCCTCTTGTGCATCGTGAATTTGATTCAGTGGAATTAATCTTTTTTTATTATTTTTTTTTAATATTGTATGAAGAATTTTCCCGACTTGATACACGATGAAGGTCTTAGTGCGGATTGAAGAATAAAACACACTACGACAAAAGCATTTTACAGCTAAATTAATAACCCTTGACACCATAGTTGATTTATGAAGCACTTACCTGAGGAAAAAGCTGCGATGCATTAGAATTTCTCGACCTCTTTCATGTGAAGTAAAATCGAAATTCATATACAGGTGATAAATTAACCTTTAGGATTTACTTGAAGAGAATATGAATACTGGTCATAATATGGAAGGCCAGGGTGAGGTAGACGAGTCAGTCAGAGAGGCATCAGTCAGACTCACAACGCCTGATAAAAGGTATCCAGACACCTCAAGATCTGATTACCAAATAAAGACAGGTGAGGCGCTGAGTCCTCGCCCAGGTGGCTCTTCACTTGTACCCTTTTTTTAATATGTAAAAATAAGAGAGATGTATTTTTTATGTATCTCTCTTGATGTATCTTTATGTATTTATATATTTTTATGTATATTTTATGTATCCCGTAATGTATCGCCTTGGTGTATCTCTTGATATATCTCTCTTGCTGTATCTCGCTTTTAAGTTTTAGTAGTCGATCTAGCTGAGAGATCTTATTTATTGAGGCGCTGTAATACATTATAATAGCATTAATAGCTCTTAGTTATAACAGCACCAGTACATTCCTAGTTATAGAGACGCTGTAGTACATTATAACAGCATCAGTAGTTCCTAGTTATAGAAGTGCTATAATGCAATATAACACAACCAATACACTACTAGTTATTGAGGCGCTGTAATACATTTTAACAGCATCAGTACGTGTTCATATTACTGATCCACGCGGTGTTATCTTGCTACTGGTATATAACGTGACCAGCAACTCACTGTATCCGATGATTGAGATAAGGGTTTTATTACTCGAACGTAATTTATTAGCTGATGCTGAACTGCTTGATGGCCTTGTTCTGTTGTGTTTATCTTATTTATGGTATACTAGACACTGAATGATAGTATGTAACCTGAGTATACTCGCCTGTATCAATTCTAAGGCGTTTGAACTTTACATTGAGTTATTTAAAGCACTCATTATTTTTTTTGTCCGGCTTACAAGATAGACTGTATTAAATGTTGAGTAGAAATGTGTTGATTTACGAGGTATAATATATTAATCTTAAGACCATTATGCTTTATCAAGGTGTGTGATCCTTGCACTAGGTTATTTAATGGTCTTGTGTGTTTGTCTCACTCTTACAGGTGAGACTATATCATATAATGCAAATAGATGTGAGGATTTACGAGGCTTGATATAACATAGTAAGACTATGAGGACTTAAACCAGACAAATAAATACATTGTGTCATTTTACTCGGCGTGAGACCTGATATCACAGTGAGTGGTTTGGCCCCGTCAGCAGGCCACCCTCATGCAGGTATCTTTAGCTCCTCAATATCTTTAATACTTCTTCGCTTATGATGGCTGGCTGGTTAACAGGTCAAGTTATCTCCATTTTCTGAGTTAGTTTATTACTGAATTTTGGGTCGGAAAGATGTGTTACTCCTTTGGTCTTTACTGATGTAGTTTGAGAGTTTGTTGTCGTGTCATGTCAATCAACTTTGGTAATTTAGAATTTGCTAAAACTTTGACTGACCATCTAGAGAATCAGTTAGCATTAAGAATCAGGAAGAAGGCAGGTAATAGTCTAGCTGGTCATACATCACCCTCAGGTCAGCAGTTGAGTGATACTTAGTGGAGCTTTTAAGCCTCTGGGTAATGTTTATGTTTACACAAGAGCGGAAAGTTGACAAGTCGGCTGAAGTTCTGAATTTGGATATTTTCTTAGGAATCTCTTTTGTGCGATTGAAAACTGACCCACATTTTGATTTTGTCTTAGTACTTTATAATCACATTATCATATTTTGTTTTTTATCAAATATATCTTTAATATATATTGTGTCCCAAGAGGCATTTGTGAAACAACTAAGTTCTTCGTCTCACCTCAGTATATAACTCACAAATATATCTTGTCATTGCAGAGGAATACAGTAGAAAAATAGACGTTGAGTGAGGGGTCATTAGGGACCATAATCGCTGGCCCCGGCCCAAGAGGGTGTTGAGGGTAGATCGTTTAGTCAACTTGGGGTTTTAGGTTATTTCATGAGTTGGTCCGGCCAGTGAACGTTTGTTGCTTCAGCTGAATTTATGAGGTGTGTGAGGACCAAATGAGAAAACTCGTCTACATACTAACAACAGCTGGGGCCCAACTCCTCCTGCGACTGGCAAAGGGGGGGAGGGGGGGTTAAGTCATTGTTTTGGTGTGGGTGTTTAGCGAGGAGGAATATTTAATCCCAAGTGGTAGTTGTTAAGTGTACAGAATGTCTGCAACCATTCATCTCTCCCCCCCCTCTCTCTCTGTATATATATATATATATATATATATATATATATATATATATATATATATATATATATATATATATATATATATATATATATATATATATATATATATGTATATATAGGCAACTGGACTACATGGACAGAGAGAGGCTTAAATATACAGGGTGACCTTAAAAACATGAGGTCAGGTTATAATGATGTCATCCACTAATCCCCACACCAACACACACGTAGAGGAGCTTAAGAGAAGGGGGTTGACGTGACTAGTCAGGCCAGGTCAAAAATAAGGGACCCACAAAATAACTATCACACATCTAGATCAAAGGTTTTCAAAGCATTTTTAACCTTGGGCCACTGACAAATAAATTTATGTAACATATTATCAGTTTTGAACTGACCATCACTTAGGTTTATTGATTTTAATTCCTTAATCAAACTAGCTTCAACCAGAAGTTTTTCTGTGACACAAGATAATTTAAATACTTCTAAGCTTTTTTCCCAAGCAATAAGGTGATTATTATTCCTAACATGAACGAACAAGGCACTGCTTTCAGATGCAGTTCTGATATTATACTTATGTTGTTTGATTCTAAGCTGCAGTGTTTTTCCTGTTTGTCCTACATAATTACAATTACATTTGCTGCATGGAATACAATAAACACTTCCATTTACATTCAAACTTGGGCTATTCCTTATTAACATATTGGTAATGGTTGAGTCATACTTGAAAACAACATTAATATTTAGAAGCTTGAGGGACCGAACTAACGGGACAAATTCATTACGATAGGGCAGAGTCAAAATATTCTTAAGTGTAGGAACTTGTCTGGTTAGAGAGGAATGAAAGGATTTTTTAGCCCTTTTAAAACAACGATCAACAAACACAGAAGGGTACCCGAGTTTCTGTGCAATGGAACGAATGTGTTTCAATTCATCGTCAATAAATGTATATATATATATATATATATATATATATATATATATATATATTGCTATTTATCTATCTATAACTATAATTATCTATCATTTATCTATCTATCAGTGAGTGAGGCAGTGTATCTGGCTGGCGGTACAGGACCACCATGAGGGAGGGCAGGTCTCTGGTGTAGAGATAAACAGAGTTAGTAACGTGAGTCGGCCGCCACTTCATCACGGTGTACCCGCGATACTAATTGTGTTTCCCCGAAAATATCTAGTTAAAAAAGCTGCATTTGTTTAATACGTTGTCTTCTGTTTGGTGTTGTGGGTTTATCATTTGTTCCTTCAAACTTTACAAATTTATTGGAGGGGAAAAAATGAGAAATGTAGGGGAAAATTATGGGTATATTTGTGTTATATAAAATGGGAATAATCGCCCA